GCCGGGCTTGGTGTTTAGATTTTCTCATGGGTTGTGCTACTGTTCATTCAGAATCTCAGGTCTTAGGGTCAGTGTCAAATATGTAGTTTGTCATTAATAGAAGGGCAGGTATCTATGGATATTTTTCTATTGAATTTAACCTCTACACATTTTTTAGCCAGTAACCTAAAATTATAAAAATTATAGTAACCTCTGTAACCTAAAATTATAAAAACCTTGATGTAATGTATCCATTGTTTGAATTAGTCTTTATTTATACTATTGTTTGATATATAATCATACACTGGCTTGCAATATAATGATTTGTATGTATGTATCTCTCCTTTAAAAAAACGTAATTTTCTGGGCTGGACACTAGTGGCTCATACTTGAAATCCTAACTACTCAGGAGGCTGAAATCAAAAGATTGCAGTTCAAAGCCAGGGCAGGAAGACAAATCCATGAGACTCTTATCTCCAATGAACCAGAAAAAAAGCTAGAAGAGGAGGTGTGGCTCAAGTAGACTTGTAGAAGACCAATCTTGAGTGGAAAAGCTAAACAGGAGTTTGAGGCCCTGAGTTCAAGCCCTAAGCACTTACGTACAACCTTCTGCCCTAAGTAGAGAACCTGTTTTGCCCTTACCTATCAACTCTCTCCTTTGCGTATTAAAAGCATTGACCAAAGATGTATCAAATGAATATTTAATAATTTTAAAACTTATTGATATTTAAAAATAATTTCATACATTGACTGTCAATTTTTCTTTACACTCATTTTATTTACTTATTTATTTTGTGCTAGTACTGAGGCTTGAACTTAGGGCATGGATGCTCAAGGTTTGTGTTTAACAGCTTCATTTTTAGCTTTTTGGTGGTTAGTTGGAAATAAGAGTCTTACAGACTTTCCTGGCTCAGGCTGTCTTTGACTCTTGAGTCTTAGATCTCACTCAGCCTCTGAGTAGCTAGGATAATAGGTGTGAGCCACCAGCACTTAGCATATTTTTATTCCTTTAAGAAGCAACTTTATAACACCTTTATAGTAACAATGAAAATTTTAAATGGAAAAAAGGAGTAACTTTATATAGGAGAAAATGTTGTGTACAGTTTTGGAATTAAGCTTGGAATTAATCATAAAACTTGATATGTAATAACAAAAATTAATTGGTACTTATTGCATGATCACTGTCTTGGTCATTTATTATATTAATTTCCTTCCCAATCCTGTTTGTTTGTTTTAATTTCTCCAATTTACATTTTTAAAATGGAGGTACAGTGTATGGCTACATTTTCAGAATTAGATATTCAAAGCTAGATATGTGTCACTTCCAACTTCTAGGTCTTCCATCCTACATAGCCATTTTCTAGTTTGTCACATGAATTCAGATTGGCTTTTAAAGTACATATTCCTATAATGTGAAAAATGATACTCAAATGCTCACCCAAATAAAAATAAATATATTATCCTAAAAACAATAAAGTTCAGGCCATGATATTACATTTTATCTTGCACAGACAATAGATAGAATATACATTTATTTAGAAAAGTATTTTTTTTGGGGGGGGGGTCCGGTCGTGGGGCCTGAATTCTGGGCCTGGGCGCTGTCCCTCAGCAATTCAGCTCAAGGCTAGCGCTCTACCACTTGAGCCACAGTGCCACTTGTGGCTTTTTTCTTTTTGCTTATGTGGTGCTGAGGAATCGAACCCAGGGCCTTGAGCATGCAAGGCAAGCGCTCTACCACTGAGCCACCTTCCCAGCCCCTAGAAAAGTTTTTTTGAAAGGCATATGAACTTCTTAATTTGAGATTTAAATGTTCTTATGGAAAATCTTATCTTTGGGATAAATATATATATGTCTGTATAAGAGAAAATAAATATTTCCACAATGCCTAGAATGGTCTTTGAATCAAAGCCAAGGAGAGTAGGTGACACATACCTGGAATTCCTAGCTAGTTGGGAGCCAGAGATAGAAGAAAGCACTTGCTTTGTATGTCCCTCCCCCATGGTATAACCTCTGCTTTCACTGTATTTGATGTTGGTATAATTTGTGGAGGGGAAGGGAAAAACAAATTGTTTAAATAGGGATACAGGTGGACCCATTGCAACAATGAGACGTACAAGTACAAGTCGTTATGTCGAAAACGAACTTTACAACTTTGGTGGTCGGGGGAGGAGGGTTGGGTGGGGGGGCGGGGGGAGGGGAGGATGGGATGGGAAGGGGAAACAAAGGAGGAGGCTACAATGCTTGGTAAGAAATGTACTCATTATCTTGCTCATGTAACCCCTTTGTATAATGTTTTCACAATTTAAAAAAAAAAAAAAAGCTCAGGGACAGTGCCCACATCCTAAGCTCAAACTAAAAAAAAAAAAAAAAAGAACTGAGGGTGTGGCTCAGGTGATGGGCTCTTGCCCAGAGATACCAAACTAAGTCTCTTAAGCTTTCTAAGAACTTATGGTTGAGTTCTAGCAGTTATCATGACTATTACTCCAGCTTCTTCTATTGAACAATTACCATGTTTACTGGACATGTTTATATATCTTAGTTACTCATCATTTAGAGTGAGAGATGACAGGGTAAATATTCTGGGTAGTTAATTCTTACTTGTCTTTTTTTTGGGGGGGGGGGTCGGGTTGTGGGGCCTGAACTCTGGGCCTGGGCACTGTCCCTCAGCTCTTCACTCAAGGCTAGCGCTCCACCACTTAAGCCATAGCACCACTTTCTTTTTTTTTTTTTTTCTGCTTATGTGGTGCTGCGGAATCGAACCCAGGGCCTCAGGCATGCAAGGCAAGCGCTCTACCACTGAGCCACTTTCCCAGCCCCTCTTACTTGTCTTTTATGTTTGGATTTTTTTAAACTGTTTTTTTTTTTTTTGTTTTTTCTTTTTTGGTACTGGGGATTGAACCCAGGACATTGCACTTGTTAGGCAAGAGCTTCATCACTGAGCTACAACCCAGCCCCATACTTAGCATTTAGATGTCAGGCTAAATGTCATTTTTTCAGGTAAGTCTTCTTGTTGTATCCCTAGATACTTACAACATTTAGGGTAAAAGTGGATGAAACTAAGTGACTTGGAAATCCAGGTGAGGCTGAGGTCAAGTGGTGAGTCTGATAAGAAGGAAGAAGGACAGATTGCCCAGAAGAGTAACCCCATAAGTTGAGGATGAAGGCCTTCAAAAGTAGGTGGTACAAGGGTAATGGCATGGAGAAGCCATTCCCTTTACTTCATTCAAGATAGATACTACATGATTGGCAATAGCCAGAGTTGACTTAAAATCCTTCAGAGCTGAGTGATAGAGTGTTTGTCTAGCACACACAAGGCCCTGTTTGATCTTCAGTACCTCAACAGAACAAAACAAAATCATTGTGTACATCCTTTTGAATTCCATTACATGCCATAGAGATCAACTAACAAAAAAGCTTTGTCCTGGGGAAAGGATTATGCAAACCCACCTTCTGAAGTTCAAGACGGCTACAGATGAAATCCCACAATATCTTAGATTTAAGTGTAAGTCCCAGTTTATTTTTCCACTTAGGTTTTAGTCTCTCCTTTGTCAAAGCAATGCATTAAACATCAAAAGATTTTGTGTTGCATAATCATAACAAAGGTGCCAGGTACCTTATGTCAGGGAAATGCGCACTGAAAGGATCAATGAAAGGATCTGTCACATCCATGCCAGGGGACCACACAGAGGCAGGCAGGCACAGGAGAAAGATCATTACAAGGTTTATTAGAGGAGCCATATTTCCCCTGGAGAGAGAGCACTTGGCAGCCTCCGCTATAGGTAGCAGAAGGGGCTGGGGGTAGGAAGTGAGGTAGATGGGAGTTCAGGTGGGTCTGGGCAGAGAGAGGGAGGAGCCAGCTGTATAGTGGGAACTCCGGATCAAGAGCAGCTCAGGTCTGGGTGGAGCTGAGGACCAAAGGTGGGCAAAATGCTTACATGCACAGCAAGAATTTCTTACACAAAGTTAAGGAAAAGAAATTCTTATGGTAAACATGTCAGAGCCATTTTGCTTCATCAGCTATCTGCACATTATGTCCATGGATTGCTGAGCAATCTGACATTTTTGTTACTTTTTAGGTAAGGAAGCAAGCATTAGGGAGCTGCATATCGGAGAGTTGGCTCCATGATGGTCCCCGAGACTCCTCCTGAGGCTTGGCCTTTTCTTTAAAGGGTCAGGATACCATGTGGTTGCCAACTCCTTGCACCATGCACCATGTCCCCTGCATCAAAGGCCTATCCATTGCTTGGAATTCTGGAGAGAAGATGTTTCTACAGTGTAGGGCTATGGGGCAAAGGGAAAAGCACACAGCAATTTCTTCTTTGTCTACTATATCACAGCCTGACATTCAAAGTGCTTATCAAAATTAGGCAAGAAATAAGATCTGAGTAATTGTTGAGACAACTAATGTGCTATCTGAACCTTAGACTTAACTGAATCCAATCCGAGTAGAAAGCAGGTTTCCTTCTAACTGCTGCTTGTGAAATGTTAGATAAGAGTCTCACAGGCTTTGTTGCCCGGCCTGGTTTTGAGCCACGATCCTCAGATCTCTAAGTAGCGAGGGTTTCAGGTATGAGCCATTAGCACCTGGCTCCAGGAATTTCCTTTTAAATGATGTGAAAATATTCCTAGGTCAGAAATAACCACATTTCATTATTCTATAATAATATAGAATCTGCCCTTCACAGGTCCAGGTTGATGTCAAACCCTCCTTCTGTGACCAACAAACTCCTTTGCAACCATGGACTCAAGTGTTCTCCATCCATGAGGCTTTCCAGAAATGAAATAGAAGACTGGTGTTGGTCTCACACCTTAGTGTCCACCTGAGAGTAGTTTCCTTGGTCATTGTTTAACATCACAAGGATGCTAGAGGCCCAGCCCATTATCTTCCAAGTTCCTAAGACAGAAAATATTACAAAGAAGAAAGAGAAGATGCTGTAGCTGGTTATACCTAGCTTTATTTTCCATTTCCCTTCCTTCTTAATTTTAAACTCTGCCTTTTGGCTATGCCATGTTTGTAAAACTACTTAATTTCTTTGTGCCTCTGTTTTCCTTCCTTCCTTCCTTCCTTCCTTCCTTCCTTCCTTCCTTCCTTCCTTCCTTCCTTCCTTCCTTCCTTCCTTCCTTCCTTTCTTCTTCCTTCCCTTCCTCTTTCCCTCCCTTCTTCCCTCTCCCCCCACTTTTTTTTCTTTTGTGCTGGGACCATGCCACCAGTCCCCAAGGTTCTTATTTAGAATGAGAGCAATAATAGCTCTACCCTCATATAATTGGGAGGGCTACATAGACAAATTCAGAGAATTTAGCTCCACCTGGAATGGGCATTCAACATGTGTTTATTGACTGACTAGTGTATAACTAGGTCTGTATTGAGTATGGAGTATTGTGACAATCAAAGAGACATCTCTTCTTCCCTGATAGAGATAACAGGGACCAAACAGTTACCCCAACAAATAAAGATAAAATAGCAAATGGAGAAAAGTGATGGGAAGGAAATGAAAGTAAAAGTTGATAGAGAATAAATGGTGTTTGTATTGGAGACAGTTGTTAGCAGGAAATCTTGGGACTGGCTGAAGTAGAAGTCTCTCTGAGAAGTGGTATCCAAACTTGACTTACAGGAAGAAAAGGCAAGAGGCAGTTAGGTGGGGTGGGAGGAAAAGTATTTCAGGCAATCAGACAGCTAAAATAATGTACTATACAAGAAGGGAGATTTAGAGGTTCATAGGTCACACCCCTAGATATCAAGGGAAAATCTTTATTTTATATGACTACACAATGTTAACTTTTTATTGTTTTGCCTGGTAGTTAAAAAAAACTTAATTCAAGAACTTCTAGGTAAATGTAATCAAGATGGTTGGTTATGTAGGGATCTCAGAAGAAATGTGCAAAAAACAAAATCAGGACTTTTTAATGGCTAATCCAGGATTTACGCTTTGTGTGTTTTCCTGAAGGCTGCATCTAAAATTAACCATGTGGGCACCCACCTTCTTGCAGACTCTGTTGTTCTCCGGCCTTTGTCCTGTCCTTGTGGAAGTCCGCCATCATACATGGTCACACCTCACCAAGGTATTACTGGAATCTTTTTTGTTGTTGTTGTTCAGGTCCTAGGGCTTGAACTCAGGGCCTGCGTGCTGTCCTGAACATTTTTGCTCAAGGCTAATGTTCTACCATTTGAGCTACAGCTCCACTTCTGACTTTTTGCTGATTAATTGGAGATAAGTCTCACGTATTTTCTGGCCCTGGCTGGCTTTAAACCTTGATCCCCACATCTCAGCCTCCTGAATAGATAGGATTACAGGCATGAGTCACTGGCACCCAACTTGGAACCTTTCTTATTCTGATCTGAATATCTACCCCTATTGGCTCTGATCCAAGCCACCCATATATATTAGTGTCTTTCAGCCCTGCCAGCTTGCTTTCTCATTTGTGCTTGAGGAGCTTGACTCCTGGCCTGGCAAAGAATGACCGCTTATTTCCTTCATCCTTAGTGAATTCCTCCCTCCCTTTGGTTGAGAGGCATTCTCCTCTGTACCCTGATTCATGTGACCATGTCACCTGACACTGCTATAATTAAATATTCGCTGGCTTCAGCTGGGGCTCAGTATTCTTCCATCCCTTTTCTTCTCTCCTCACCTTTTTTTCACCATCTTTCCTACCAGGTGCTAATTTCCTGGAGAAAGTATCTATAATGTTAGGCTTCTGAATTTTTGGTATCTAACCCAGTACTATTCGTTGTGCATGGTAGAGATCAATATTTGTTTCTCAAATAAATTAAGATAAAGCTAATGTTTTTTTCTTAAAGTGTGTGTGTGTGTGTGTGTGTGTGTGTGTGTGTGTGTGTGTGTGTGTGTGTGTGTGTGTGTTAGTACTGGGACTCCAGCTCTTGCTTAACTTTTTGGGCAAAGGCTAGTGCTCTACCACCTGAGCCATGTCTCCACTTCTGCCTTTTGGCTGGTTAATTTCAATGAACAGACTCACAGATTTGTTTATCCAGTCTGGTTTTGAATCTCACTCCTCAGATCTCAACCCCCTGAGTAGCTAAGATTACAGGTGTGAATTGCCCATGCCTGGTTTAACCTGTAACATTTTCTATCTGTGTATTCACTCATCAAACACTCATATTGGCTACACAACCATATTGAACAGGAAATGTAAAATTATTTTAAAGTATATTTTCAAAAATGGAGTAAAAGTTGAGTTGTATATATTTAAAATTAATTCCAGCTTTCAAAATTTCTAAGGTATTTTTACTCTTAGTTCTATTTATTAGTGATATTTGTTGTTACGAATTAAAAAAAAACTGATTAAAAAGTCAACTTTATAGCCAGGCACCAGTGGCTTATATCTGTAATCTTAGCTACTTAGGAGGTTGAGGTTTGAGGATTGAGGTTCAAAAAGCCAGACCAGGCAGGAAAATTCACGAGACCCTTATTTCCAATTAACCAGCAAAAGGCCAGAAGTGAAAGTGTAGCTCAAGTGGTAGAGTACCAGCCTTGAGTGAAAATGGTAAGGGACAGCACATAAACCCAAGGACCAACACAGACAGACAGACAGACAGACGACCCCCGCTCCCCCATACATATAAAATCAGCTTTATAGTAGTATAAATTAGAGAGTAAAATCTGAACTTTAACGTGTATACACACAAATAATCACCACTATACTCAAAATACAGCGTTTGGAGATGTGTGGGATTGCTCCTTGCCCTCTACCATTTGAGTTCCATGGAGGAGTGGTGTACTGTGGACCTCAAGTTGGAGTGGGCCTAGTGCCCCAAGTCAGAGTGGAAGTGGAGCCCTTTCATTCCTAGGGCAAGGTGGGACCGGGGTGGAGAGCCACTCCAAGCTTCCCCTGGGCCCTGCACTGCCCACCTGGTGCTGGGAAGCTGGAGAAGCAAGAGCAAAAGATGGAAGACAGTAAGGATGTGAGCAAGAACTTGAGCCATCTGCCAAGCTGCTGAAGCAGAAGAGGATCCCCCTGGGATATACCCAGGCCCATATGGGGACTCATGTGGGGGTTCCTTTAAAAGATGTTCAGCCAAAGGACAGACCAACCACCTGCCGCCCTGAGGCTCTGCAGCTTGGTTTCAAGAACACGTGCAAACCGAGGCCCCTGCTGCGGAAATGGGTGGAGGAAGCAGGCAAGAGATGTGCAAAGCAGAGGCCCTGGTGCAGGCCTGCAAGAGAAAGCGAACAAGTATGGTATGAGAGGCAACCTGGGCAGCCCGGGTCTGGAAGGATGTGGTCCCAGGGTGGTTCTGTAACCTGTGCTAGAAGGGCAAAGGATCAAGCAGTGACTATTCCCAAGGAGAGGATTTTGCGGCAGCAGGGCCTTCTTTCCCGGGGTGACCTGTAGCCATTCTTCTGGCTCCAGGATCCCATCTTGGAACCCCGGTCTACAGGATCCCTCACATTGCCCATCGTCCTTTTCTCTGAGGCAGAAGCCTTTCCCCCGTCACCAGCCTGGGCTCTCCCTCACACTCAAACTGAGATGCCTGCCCTTCCTAGAAATAGGGAAACAGAATAAATGGGAGAAGCTAGGGGAAGAGAATCTGAAGTCTGTGGGTTAATTTCTTCATTCACTAAGGAAGGAATAGGAAGTACAAAGCCGGGGCGGGGTGGGGGGAGGCAATTTGGGGGGAAATGGTCAGAGTGAAGGTGAAGTTCAGTGATACTCTAGATTTTAATCCCCATGTTATTCAACACTTTGTTTTTAACTAAAGAAGCCTGGGATACAGAAAGGAAGAAAGAGAAAGAGGAGGGAGGGAGGGAAAAGGGAGAAAACGGAAAGAAGGAAGGAAGAAAAGGAAGAGAGAACAAAAGAAAAGATGAGAAGAGAAAAAGAGAAAGAAAGGAGGGAGGGAAGGCAGGCAGGCCTGCCTACAGGTAAGCTCTCTGCTCTGTTTATTTGCTCTATTGTCTTTAGAGATTTAACAAGTAGGAAGTTTTGAAATCCCACTCAGAACTTCCCTATGGTCCCATTTACTAGCAGTACACACTGGCTGCAGAATACCCTGATTATTCCCCCTCCATACTCCTTGTAAATATATTATTCAATCAACTACATTTTAAAACCACTGTTGTTCCCTATGGATATTTGAAATTGATTGCAAAGAAGACTTTTTATTATGAAGAATTAAACTTTCTTTCTGAAATGCTTTGAACTGCAGGTTTTGAGTGATTACAGGAATAAAATGGTAGAAGCTTTCCTTTTCTCAAAGCTACTTGGCATTGTTGAATTGGACCTAAGGGAGGATATAGAGGTGAAGTAAAGCAAAAAATAAGAACAGGGAAAATGTGGTATAGAGAGTCATAATAACAGCAGAATTGAGTGAAGAAAGATACACTGAACCAGGAAGATGTTATTTGCATCCAATCTCCCTACCTTAAGACACAAGGAAATCAAGGTAAGAGTATGAATAGAGGCCCTGCCTGTAATCCTAGCTACTGAGGAGACTGAGATCTGAGAATCAAGGTTTGAAGTCACCCCCAGCAGGAAAGTCCAGGAGACCCATCTCCAAATAACCACTCACTAAAAAGCCAGAAATAGTGCTGTGGCTCAAGTGGTAGAGTGCTAGCCTTGAGCAAAAAGCTCAAGGACAATGCCCAGGCCCTGAATTCAAGCCCCAGGATCGGCACAGAGGAAAAAAAAAAAAGAAAAAAAATAAGGCATATGAATAGAGGAAGAAATGGCACCAGTGGAAAATACAAATGAAGACAGAGATGGAATAAAAGAAAAGGGAGCACAAAAATAATGACTAAACTATGCTTACTAAAAGAAGCAATAGAAAAGAATTCTGCAGGGCAGTGTCTCGGTGGGTTAGCATTTTATGAAGCAGTTTATGAGTCCTGCAGGATGCTTTAAAAGGGAATATGAAATAGCTATATTTTCTGAAAGGAAAGCATCAGCAAAACTTCCTTATTGGAAAAAGTATACTAAAACTGTTAAAAAATCTTACATTGTGCTAATAGAAAATAAATATTTTCCTGAAAAAACTGTGAAGACCTTTTCCCTATCCTAAGCTATGTGTCTTGGCTCATGTCTGTAGAAAATGTTCTCCCAAATTACCAAGCAAATTTGTTGATTCTGCTAGATAGGGATGGCAAAACAGCTAAGGACAAATTCAAATGAAAACTAAATTGGTTAGGTTTGAAGGAGCAGCACCCGATGCTCTTATTTAACTGATTTTCAACATTGTGAGGTCACTTTATAAAACATCAAGATGTTAATTTTAGGAAAGAATAAGGAGGAAAAATCAGAGAAAACATAAAAAAGATGAGAGAAATAAAGAGAGAAAAGTAATAATGGAACAAATAGAGGCAGAACACAAAAAAAGGAAGGAAGGAAGAAAGTATATATTATGAGGCATTCAAAAAAGATTTCTTTAAAACAAAATGAGAAAAAAATGTAGACTCAACTATTAATATTTTTTGTATTTTTATTGTTATTGTAAAGGTGATGTACAGGGTTGCATAAATGAGGTAATGAGTACATTTCTTCTTGAACAATGGACTTACCTTTTTTTTAAAGTATGCCAAAGAAAAAGCCTGAATATAGTTCAAAACAAGAAATAGATACTCTTCTTATATCCTGTTCACTTGAGAATAAATTTAATCACTGCCTTTGGAAATCTTTACTAATTTTTAAGTCATTATTAAAGCTCTTCTTCCCTATTAGGGCTAAGTCCAGAAACAGAAGAATCCCTCCAAAGAGATTTTAGTATTGGAAAAGAACTGTTCCGTAGATTATGGTAGCCTATAGTGATAATCACTCCTTCATACTTTTGTATCTTATTAAAAATTAGATTGTGGCTGGGTGTATTGACTCTAGCCTGTAATCCTAGCTATTTAGGAGGCAGTGATCAGAAAGATTATAGTTCGAGGCTGGCCTAGGCAAAAGGATACATGAGACCCCCAACTCAACCAGTAAGCAGATGAATATGGTAGCAACTGCCCCTCATACCTGCTACTGTGAGAAGTATGAATAGGGGGGTCAAGGTCCAGGGCAGCTCAGGCTAAAAGTTAGACCCTATTCAAGAAATAAAGAAATCAGCTTGTAATCTGAGA